GAGATTGTATGATGGTGTTGAGGGTAAACCCATGGATGTGCACACATGTTAGTTTGTCTATTTAGTTAGCAACAGGCTCGCTCCTGAGAATTGAAGTAGAACCATCACATCAACCTCCTAGTCCAACAGCTGTGAATATTATGATTGGTGAAGTGTTAAGCTCCCAGAGCGAGGCGCTGGGGACAGCGTTTCTGACTATTGGGTACTCCTTGAGTCGTGGCCAATAATAATTCAGTGAATTACAGTCGCAGGTGAAGATATGCCTCTTAACTCACGATGGTGGTGCACCCCTTTGTGACCACGATAAAGCGTCTCCGGTCACACCAGGCAATACCTACAGGTAACCCCCATATTCTGGAAGCAGCTCCAGCTGGATATAGCTGGGCGCAGATTTGAAAATTGACACTTGCATAGAGTGCAGTCTTCCCAACCGTCCGGGGCGCCCTACAGGGCCCTAGCTGGTTGTAGTCCCGGGAGTCCCGGGCAGGGTGGGTGAGGGCGGCAGGGCATGCCGTCCGTCCCCCATAAAGACGACCGTCCGGGGGGGGTTGACGCCCGGACCCCGCAGTCTTAGCACAAATGGCATCTTCCGGCGGTTATCCGCAGGCCCCAGTCATTACCTGCAGGGCCCAGCCGTCGCCTACGGAGCCCGGCCGTCATCCGCCGTCACCCGTAGAAACCTTGCACATCTCACCCTCTGAGAAACCTGCAGGGCCCGCCCGCCCATCCCGGGCAGTGGTCTGGACGGACGCCAAGATGCCCGTTCGGTCCGCCCCCAAGGATGGACGGACTGGACACTTGGTTTCACTAATAGAGTGGATAGGGTGCTCGAGTGCCGTAGGCGGGGGGAAGGTTGTTGACTAGAGGATGCATTGAAGCAGCTCGAGAGGGGGGGATCAACTTATGAAGACTTGTAAAACATACCCAAATTCTTTAAAATCAAAATCAAAAAATTAATTCGTGACTAGGATAGATGGACTTTCTAGTGATATCCCAGTCGCAGGATGACCAAGCGAATTTCTTTACCACCGGGATGGAACATACCCAAACCCCACGACCGGCGGTTGCATTTCTATCTATCAGGATAAATCCAGAAAATTATCGGGAATAGCCAGCGATCCGATAAAGGTTCAGGACAACAGCGTGCGACTGTGCTCAATACTCGTCCAACGATCTCGCCTCGGATATGAGGTCTCCTGGTAAGGAACAACCCTGTCTCGGGGGTCTTCTGTAGAATCTGACTTCCCAAGTCCAACGTTTAAGCTTATACTCTGTCCGACACTCCTCCATAGAGTCACTGAAGGCAAATGTACATGGAAAAACCTAAATAGTTTGTAGCATCCCGAAGCTCTTGGGAAGTCGTGACCCTCGGCTACCGGTCCCATTTGCTGGTCCCGCAGAGCACCAGCATTGTCTCCAGGTAATTGCTCCAATCCTTTAGTGACTTGTATGAGCAGGGTATCAGAAATACTGATTGGAGACTGCTCCTTCCGTGTGGTGAGGCCGGTGCAACCCCTGATCTTGACCTCCGGCCTTTTAAACTGCTATGACTCTCCGGAGCCAGTAAGACCCCGACTGCACCGATCACGAACTATCACTCGGTCAAATCGAATCGCCAAGGCGTTCAGGCAGCAATCAAAAAGAGGGGTAAGATTTTCTCCGCCGCTTCTCTCTTTTCTAAAGACACACACTCTCTCTCATTCAACTCGCTTTCTCAACTCAACTGACACATGTGGAAAAGCCAGGAGTACAAATAAACGATCATCAAGCCTTCTCCATTTGCTCCACTAAACTCCACGCATATCCATCGCGATCCCCGCTCATCCGTGCAATTTTCCCTTTCCTCAGCTTGTTCTCATCGCTAACAAAAGAGAGAACAAAAGAACAAAATAATAGGCACCACAAAGAACTCTCCCGCCGCCTTGCTACCTCCGCCCGCATTATCAATCCCACTGCCGTACCACCCCAGTTACCGATATCAATGGCGGGTTGGTACAACCCATTGCCAATTGGACAAAGCATAGAGAACCCAACCGGCGGGTAAAAGAGGCGTGTCTGGGAGGACGGGGGAAAAAGGTAGGGCCGGTTGCCAGCCCACCGCGGGGTCATAGCTCCATGACGCACGGCCTATAGAATACCACTACAAGAGTCCCCCCTTTCTGCTCCCTTATCCTGCAAGATTATCACTCTTCCTACACCTCGCGTTCGTTATTTCTCCCATTCGTTATTTCTCGCGTTGTTTATTGCCCACCCGCCCTCCCCTCTCAAAACCCACTGGCGCCCCCATTGTCACCTCGGGAAACATCGGCCGTAATGATCTCCCCTGGCAAGGGCAGCGGCTTCCTATCCACCGCCTCCGACAGTGGAACCAGGTACTTTGTTGGCTGGGTCTGGGCCCCACTGTATTCTCTTATGGCGTTATTCCGCGTTGGTTGTCTTTAGTATCTCTTTCTGTTAGACTTAGCTACTCCTAATACATTTGCCGGACTTTGGAAAATTGGCTTCCGTACTTACAAATGAAAAGACAGACTCAACAAAGATGCTCCAATTTCCTTCCATGCTCCCTCTACCCTCCGCACTCCCACTCCCTTTCGTACTCCCGCCGACATGCTGGCATACCGTTCGGAGACGTGATACGACAAACCAAAGCACGAGTGGGTGGACAACAGAGGGGCCGGCGATACGGCCAATTAGGTTAATTGGGCAGGCGGACTAGAGAGGTTTTAGAATCAAGTGCCCATTTTAACTAGCTCTGTAACCAGGACAACGGTAGGGCGAATGGCCCTAGACAATAGTGTTGGCGATGGTGAGTTAATTCTCATGATAATCTGCGATAGTGGACACTAAGAGAACGCGGCACCATAATCGATTTTGTTGATAGTAAACAAATACTCTAATTGGTTGGCGCCGTCGTTTAATTCCATTTAGTGTCACTTTGGTGAGCATTACCTTAAAACCTCCCTTCAGTTCATTCTTCAATTCTTCGCTTACCGCTAACCTATAACATGCTATAGTGCCACACTCCACTCTAAAACCTCTCTAAGGGCGGAACAGGCGGGTGGATAGTTGACTAGCAAACTGACAAGAGAGTAGGCAGACAGGCGGGCAACCGGACGTGAAAACAAATCAGTGGACGGACAGACAGACAGATAATCGAGTAGCCGAATGCGCGAACAAAGAAATGGATAGACGGACGGACAATTTAGCGGATCAACGTGTGAACAAACCGACGGATGCCCAGATAACCAGGTTGACTAACGGGTACGGATAGATTTGGTGGAATATTGGATATACTGCTCCTCCAGCTATCGAATATGCTCTGGGCATGCCGCGCATGTTCTAAACATGTCAGGCAGGTTCTGAGTATGCATGAGTTGTGAGCATGCCGAGCAGCATTTCCAACACGGCCCGATGTGTAAAGTGCCAAATACTACAGACTTAACTTAGTATCACCTATTAGCGCTAGTTCATTTCTTCCTCCATCCCCCGGATATGGCGAGATTGTCTCCCATACTTGATATACTGTATATCTTGGCCACCTCCGGGTTGTTGGACGGAAACCTTTCTTGGCTGCTCCGCATATTTCCCTTACGGCAAAAACTCAACAACCCTAACCCTTTGGACCTATATCAACCACTCCGACGCCTCTATGTTTGACTGCCGGATAGTCCTACACATCAAACAACACTTGCGAAAACACCTGCGACAACTCAATTTGAAGGCCTTACCCCCATCATGTGGAAATGCCGAATATCCTCGGCCGTACTCCAAATCTTATCCTCGGTTAGAACATACCCTCGGTTGAATCCTCTCACCCTCGGCCGAAATGGGCGGCAGTGGAATTGAGCATGATGAAGAACACGGCATACGCTGGAAGTATGTGGAAATGGATCAAGATGATCCAGAGAAGGATAAAAGGCAGCCTGTTTTCCCTTTATTAGTTGTTTTCGTTCATTATCCAATCTGTCTCTCTCTTTTCTCCGTTACCTATATTTGGGCCAAATCAGTCTTTCCTTTATTATTTGTTACCTATTTTCTTCCTGATAATATTTCTCCGGCTAATTTCCCAAAGCCAAAGAAATCTATTATGATATTGACATGCTAGAAGTGAAAGGAAAAACGATGAAGAGAAAAGAGAAAGATGTGTTCCACTGGCGGAGGCATTGGCGGGTGTCGCTGCCCTTGCCGTCGGGGATGGTTGCCACCGATATGTCCCAAGGTGGCAATGTGGGCGCCGGGGGTGCAGGTGAGGGTGGTGGGTGGGAAATAAAGAACGCAAGCGGTAGGAAGCAGGAAGTTTGGTGATCTTGTGGTGTTCGGGAGAGGTGGATCGTAGTTTATGTATTGGGGGTCCACGGGCCCCTCCTGGTGAGCTATGACTGCGCTCTGGATGGGCAACCGGCTATACCTTATTCCGCTAACCTCCGGTGGACAGTACCCTTCCCTGACAGGGTTCCCGACGCTTTGCCCAATTGGCAATGGGTTGTTTCAACCCGTCATTTAGGATATTCAATACTGTACGATATTTGCACCTTTGTCTAGCCATTCAATTCGAGTCAACAGTGTCCAAATCGCAGCCGTAAGCCTTGTTGAAAACGGGTCGCTTTAACAAAACCGTGCGGCATAGCTTGATCCGACCCTCCGCCACCCTCGTACCCGGACAGTTTCCTACGTTATCAGCCCTCCAATATTGAGGGTCAGGATGGGTATCTCGGGCTCTAGGAGGGATGGATAACTAAGGCAGGGTTTCTGCTCGCTTGTTGCCAACCGCAACATGGTTTGGCACATGATGGACAGAGTTGTGCGGAAGAGATTGGCTATAATTAAACGAGTCAATACTATTATGACAAATACCAGAAATTTCTGTTTTTTGTCGGCAAGAATGCTCTTGAGAATTTTGGAAGGGGATTGGAAGTAGGGTTGGTTGGCTGAGTAAACTTGACGAAGCTGTTCGATGCTGAGGAGAAGCAGGAATTTGACAGTGGTAGGTATCTGTATGTATCAGTTTTAACCAGGAACAATCCAATTGTCTCGTCGAAAACTTGTGCGACAATTAGTAATGCCACAAAATCAACCTGATCGCTTTCACTTGTTCTCATTCAGCTCTCCGTTTGATTATTCTAATTAACTAAACGGTAAAGACAGGAATATATAAATTACAGGGAAGACCGATGTCGCCCCATATTTCCCTTGATTACCACATATACACTCTCGTCCAGACAAGTCTCCTTTTCCTCTGGGTACTCCACGCTAATAAATGAGAGATAGGCTTCATAAAGGCTCTCACCGTCCGTAAACCCCGCTCCGTTCCTTTGACCCTCCCGTATTACTTCCGGCGGGTACATGATTTGACTCCGTTTTAGAAAGCAACGGGCTAACAGGAGGCAGGACAATACCAAAACGACAAAACGAAACGGCGATGACTAAATGCGCTGTGAATACTCTGCACAACCAAAAGCGGGGAAGTTCACTAAAGTTCACCAAGGTCGCTCCACATCTCGCTCTTTCAACGACTCTCTCGCTCTCTGCTTTCTCGCACTCCACGACTCCACGACTAACTAAACTAACTGACAGGAAAAGACAGCAGTATAAATAAACGACAAAGATCACCTATCCTATCCTTCCTGCGATCACCGCATACCGGTATCTCTGACGCCTCCCATACTCATCTCCATTTCCTCTTGTGCGCTCGCATGCTATCAATCATGCTAACGAAAGAAAGGAATGATAGACTCCAATTGCCTTCCGTGCTCCCATTGGCGTCCGCGCTCCCACTGCCTTCCAACGCTTGCGTGCTAACAAAAGAAATTCGGAAACAAAGACTCTCGACTGTCTCTATATCCCCTGCCATTCATATCCTTCTTCATAGGAAGTGCTCTCCCAAAGTGCATAACCGAAACCTCCCCCCAACAAAGCGAATGCGCCAAAACAACAAACAAGGGGCGGGGGTGAACGACCAAGCGGGGACAAATGGACGGGCGGGAATGAACAAAAGGCCGGCTCCGGAAACGTACAGTGAATATTCAGACGAGCAATAAACGGACGGATAGAGATGCCGACGGACAGATATGCCGACGAACAAGAGTGCAAAGTCATGAGCATGCCGAGAAGCATCCATGATTTCCAACACTCCGGCAGGTACATCATTTCCTCCCAGGGATGCGTTAATCTAAAACGCATCTCCGGATCCTTTATTCGAACGACGGAACAATATCCTGGACATGCGACCAGTGCCCACAGTTTACGGCAGTGGAACCAAAATTCATAGCCTCCGTGGGTGATTGTGCTCATACCAGGGAGTCGCTGACGAAACGGGTCAGGCATGGGATCAGGGGGAAGCAGAGTGGGCTAGTGACGGAAAAACATTCTGTTTCTGGAGGTTAGCAATACCAGAGAATATATATATATATAAAGTATGATACCAGAGAATATATATATATATAAAGTATGATACCAGATCAGAAATTTTGGTTCGTTACTGATTTTTGCGCCAATTTTGTCAACAATAGACATTTTCAAATTTACAGCCTCCAACACGATCTTGTCAAAAACAAATGGAATTTTCACACCGTCTGGAGAATCACTTCTTACTCAATTCTGCAGAAGCGCGAGTAAAAAGGATTGGATTGAGTTCACGACTTACGATTGTATGTTTGGGGCTCCATGTATGGGGGTTTATAGCTACCGCGTAGCTCCAGCTTAGCCTACATTTTCTCCGTGGCTTTATAATTTATCAGGGCGATCTGAAGTTTTATATTAACTACCGTTTTCGTAGTCTAGCGTTATTATATATTGGTAGATTCTCATAGGGGTTGATGTTCTCTAGGGGGGGGGGGGTGGAATTGGATGTCTTCGGCGTAAAAACGTCCATCGAACCAAATGTTTTGATCTTAGTATCATACCGAGGTATCATATAAAAAAAAACATCTAAAGTTCGCGCCGAAGTTCCTTATGGAGCCCATCCTACGGAGTCCATCAATTTAAATTCGCAAGGAATCAAAAAACAATTCTAGATTTAATGAACATGCTTGTACTAGAAGCGCAAAATGCCATGCCCTAATTTTACTTTCCACAATCCCTGGTCCACCTGCTCATGGCCGGTTTCACCATTTCCATGCAATAAATAACAGCGCCCGATATCTCCAAGTGAATGCCACGAACCAGTTGATCCTCCAATCGTTTGAATGGCATTCTTTGAAGAATTGAGGAGTAGGAGGTGACTTGAGGCCCCTTCTCTTTCTTTAAATCTTTAAAGTAGAAGTCCTTTGCCTCGGACAGTGCCCCTCCGGGCCAAATTCAGGCATTTGAGCATACCGTAATATATCACAATTAGAACTCTAGCTTTTAAGCTGTCTCTTATATCCAATATAGTTTGGAATAAAGGGAGAAATCACCACAACCCCCCCCCCACTTCATCCCCCTCAACCATCACAACAACTTAAAATGACATGCCTATGCTCTAAAAATAAAGCAAGCATAGGTTCTTGGTATTGAAAGAAAGAAATCTTGGGGTTAAACTAGTGGGTTGTACGGGAGTCATTCCCGAAATCTACCAAATACCACATTTGAGTTCTTGGAGTTCCCGTACTTTTCTTTCTTCGTAGTGCGATATAGAATTGTGTCTTAAACATCCTTGCATTGCTTAGAGCGTATCAAAAAAATCCCCCATGTGCCTTGTAAGTTGACGAGAAAGACCTCTGTGAGACCACTCAGTTTGTCGGGATAGCCGGCGGTGGTGCCAAACCCTGTTACGGTAAAATGCTCTTTGCGGAATTCGAAAAAAACAGCTGCGGGACAGCCAATAGATACAAACCTTCGCCGGACATGTTCCCTATTGGCCAAGTCTCGTTGAAAGGAGCAAGTCATGAGGTATGTGTTGACTAATTTTTTATTTTTATTTTTGGAGAACTGATTTCATGCCTGCGAAATAGGGAACAGCCGAGGAATGCCCGGGTTGATGGGGGCCCAGCAATGGTCGCTATTGACTACGGAGGTACAGTACAGCGCCTAAGTTTTGTATGTTACACTCGCAGTGGGCATTGTGTGAGCAACTGGTGTAACATACAAAACTTAGGAGCTGTACCTCCGTAGCTAGCGCACGGGCATGTGTTTCCCTAACTGTCTAGTGCGATGGGACAGGATATACGATATTTCACCTTAGGGACATGACGCTTTTCGACTCAAGTCATCAAACCCTCGAAATTCATCTCCGTTTTATCTGATCCGTCCAAGCGAATTCGGTATAATTTTATTATCATCATACTGACGGTGCGAGGGGGGTTTTGTCATGGCGATTGCAACGCCTGCTGTCCTTACCAGGGAAACGATGCATACTTTCTAAAAATACCCACTAGCGCTCTGGGGTTCAACTCCGTATACTCAGGTAGTCTTAAGAATAGTCCCGAAATAGGTGGCCGTAATAGGTCTTTGCTTACACTTTTGTTGGCCAAACATTGGTTCGAAAATTTCATAAACTTATCATACTGCGCTCAGACCTTTAGTGTTCTGGCACTGTTGCGGCATATGCCGGTAAGAACAATTCGCTACTCCCAAGTTCCTATAGTGAGGCTCCATCGGGATGCACATAACAGCCGTGGAAGCTTATTGTAGACACTTCGATACTAAGATACGCAGCAGTTAAAGACTAGGGATTGTGCTAGTCTATGCAAAGTGATGTACGGTACAATACCCAACGATTTATATAAGTAGTGCGGAAAAAGGGCGGGGAAAGGTGACCGAAATCACGACGACGCAAGTTTTCTACTGGAGACGCCCGAGCCTACACGAGGTGACTAAAGAATACTTGCGATCCTCCTCCGACTTTCCCGCTGACGGGCATTCTAGCAAACAGGGAATTTTGTCCCCATATCTTTAATTTAGTGGGAATCCTATAAGATGTCCATTTCTTTATCCCGGTGGTTATTGTACGGTAACTTATCCAGGGGTCTCGGGTATACATAAGAGAAAGAATTTTTTTTTTTTTTTTCCAAAGACCACCCAAGGAGAAATAGCAAATAGAGAGATACCTCCGGCATCTTCTCTCACCTTCATCGAAGTACTCGAGTATAGTTGATCACTTTCCTGTGGGCACTCTATGGTCTACCGAGAGTGTTGAAATCGATGCCGAATAAGGTGGCTACTGCTTCGGAACTGGAGGGAGGCTGGGCCAAGTTCTAGCCTTCATTTTCCATTTCTTTATGATATCGCTACTCTCACCGTACTGAGAAAAAGAGAATTCGGTCCGGGAAAGCGAATGTGAAAAGGTCGAAATTGTTAGGTTCGAAAGAAAGAGAAACGAAGAAAGTAAGGAAGAAAATCAATTCACAAAATTCGTATCGATCTGTCCTTGCACTCTCAAGGAAAGTCTTATCATTCGGTGTACTGTACTTCACTCGCACACTAAGACTTGTTCGGTTCGATTCGCGTTTCGTAGAGTTCGATGTTCGTTCGTTGTGGTTGCTTTCTACTTCGTTCAGAAGACAGGTGGAGAAACCCTCCCTACATACAGAAAGAAAACTTTTCCCTTCCTCCCTCAAACATAAATACCCCATTACTTCAGCACCCAGTCAATCAAAACACCAAAGAAACTACATCCCTCTCTAAATTAAATTAAACCAACTAGGAGGACTTCAAAAATCCACAAACCAGATTTTGAGCCTTACAGTACGTGGTGTCAATAATATCTATATTGTTTGTGAATGGTACTGTACATTAACTGATCAAACGTCACCCCATTGGCTCCCTGGTGTTGTCCATTGAAAGCAACGGGTGAGCCAACCCCACCACCCCAACTTTCATTGTCAGCATGTTTAGGATCACGAAGACTTCTGTCGAGAGGGCTATTATGGCCTTCGAGTACCTTACGAGTGTCGTAATTTAGTGTCCAGATGTTATGACACCATTTTTCTCAACCCTTATCTGCTGCGTTCAAGAGAGCGGTATGCAAGACGAAAATCACTGCCGTTTTGAGATAGGTGTCATACGGTAGAGTAGATGGCTGAAGGGCATGAGGCATCGCACCTGAGGAAGCGGGGAAATCTCTAGGCAAAACTACAGCTACAGTATCATATTATGTTCTCGGGGAAGTTGGGGTGACACCTCTCTCTTATCACTCTATAAATTTTTCGTTAAGCCATGGCCCTTGGTCTGGATTGTTTTTTTCTTCCTCGGTGAAGTTATCTGGCGAATCGTACCTGTACCGACCTTAGTGAGGGGAGACATTGAAGGAACTCCCTCCCAGCCGGATGGTAGACAACACTTCGCGGATAACCCAGGTAGCAACCGGGACCCGCACGGTACTCGAGTAATAGAATAGGAGAGATTGGAGAATACATTAATTTAATTTTTGAAATATTCAGTGTCGGGTGGCGAGCCCGAAAAACTTCTTTGCACCGTTAACTGATAGGGCCTTCAGGTAGGAAAATGTGACTGATAAAGAAATAAGGGAAATAGCAAAATTGGGTTTTGAGAGAGAGGCAGTAAAAAGCAATATTGGATAATCTTTCAGTGCAACTCAATCAACCTTGCGGGAATAAAACTTCCCCGAGTCACCCTCATAGTGGCTTCAGGGAAGGAAAACAGGATAGGTAGGGAAACTAGGGAGAGCTGGGAATTTTGATTTCAAGAAAAAATTTAAATTCCAAGAGCAAGGCTCTGGGGATGGCGTTTCTTGTAATTATCAGGTACGGTACTCCGAGCGACGAAACGGTAAAGGTTCAGTGAATTACCGGTAGAGTCATAGACGAAGCTACTCCTCTTAACTCACGATGGCGGTGCGCCGCCTTTGGCCGGAGAGAAGTCGTCTCCCGTCACACCAAGCAATACCTATGGGTAATAAGGTAGCCTTTGTGAACACAACTTCGCTTGCATATCACACCACTCAGATCGGAGAGAAGCGGTATGCAATTGCTCTCGTGCCAACAATAATCAAAAAAGACTGCAGAGAACCCTCACAGCTGGGGAGCAGCCGCCGCTCAATTGAGCTTCGTACAGATTTAAAAATTATCTCTTGCATGGGTGTCTGGGTGTGGTGGGGTAGTCCGGTGGGTGAGGAGGTGAATAATATGGGGTACTCCAGCAGGGTACGGTACACTCGAGCACGGTATCTACCAATCAGGTGAGAAGTTACAAGTAGAAGCTGTAAAGACGACCTGAACGCCTGCAGTGAGTGGTGAGGGGCCAGCCGAGTCGCCTGGCCTCACGCCGACCATTTTGTGCTCTCAGGAGAGGAGTAGTCCCCAGGCTCCCCAATCTCTTTGACTCTTCTATTCTTTTCCACCTGGTCGAAAGTTACCTTTACAAATCGAAAAGGAGTCAACCAATTCTCTAGTCGGCAAAACGCAGCTTCTCACAATCCGGGTATCAATTGATAAGATGGGAATTTGGCAATCAAGAACTGGCGAGGACTATTCTTCACCGCAAGGGTATGCTAGGGGAATGTCTCTCATATACATCTACCGTTTTAACCATTAATTCCAGCAGCGGTGATTCTAGTTCCGGGGCCAATATCCATATTAGGGGCGACAATTGCGGCAACTCCGGTTCTCATAATAAGTTCTCCTCCGACAACACCACCATCTTCAATTTCTGGGGCGGCACAAACTCCTCCCAGAACCATACAGAAATTTTACAATTCCTATACACGTCCAGCTATGAGTCGCACCGAGGGCGGGTTCGTGAGCCGACCGAGGGAACGTGCGCTTGGGTTACGGAACACCCAAGGTACAAGGACTGGTCGGAGAAGAAGAAATCAGGTCTCCTCTGGCTATCGGCAGACCCAGGTTGCGGGAAATCGGTCACCGCTTCGTTCCTCATCACACACCTAAAGACACAAACGGATGCCATCGTTTGCTATTTCTTTTTCAAGGACGACAGTGATGAGCAGAGGAGCCCAACATTTGCTCTTTGCGCCCTGCTGCACCAGCTCTTTGTACAGAGGAATTCCCTCTCTAGATATGCCGAGCAAGCGTTTAAGGATAAAGGAAAGAGGTTCACGGAGGAGGTGGACACATTGTGGAAT